ATTATTTTTCTGTTTTATTTGAAGTCCAAAGTCGACGACCTTGCAGGAATAAACAAACACGTGATTACAAGCATTGGAACCTGTTTCCTCATTAAAGTTCAAATGTGCTCTTATTTTAGCCACAAGAGGAAACCACAGAAAATAAAGTTGTTGCGCAGGTAGGTTTCATAAAGCAAAGTAAGGACTGACACGTGAAAAGTGTTGAAATACAAGAGGATGAAGATGCATTTATCATCTAAATTAACTTAAAGTTTGGCTGACTTCCTTTTTAATCCCATCAGTGGAACGGCACCATTAGGCCAGTGGAAAGTGATTTTGGGTTCCCTCCTACAGAGCCCCTCGAACAGAGCCTCCAGAAGGACACCAAAGTAAGAAACTGCAGCAAAATAAAGACCTTTAAATACTGCTGAGATCCGCTGCTGTTAGAGTAACATGGAAATGAATCTGAAAACCAGCCATTAAACCCAAGAACAACAACTTATTCTCATTGTGTGTATTCATAGGTGTGCTTGAATTTCATATTAAATATAATTTATATGATCTTTTCCAGGGAAACACACAAAAGTGAACACACACAGCAGATGGTTCAACTCAACAGAGCAAACACATCTGAAGTCCTGAAGGAGAAATACTGCCAACATGAAGTAGCCTATGCCATTTATTCATTCTGCTGCTGCTTATTTTAATTGTGAATTCAAAAAAAAATTTAAAAAATACTGTATGAAAATTTCGTTTTTTTTCTAATGTGGTTGATGTGAGTGGTATAGTGGTTAGCACTGTGTCCTCACAGGAAGAAGGTCCTGGGTTTGAACCTGCTGACTGGCCACAGCGTTCCTCTGTGTATGTGTGGGGATACTCATGTTTCCCCACAAAGACATGCAGGTGTGAATATGAGCATGTGTGTCATCTATCACTGTGTCGCAACTAATATTGTGCTGCAATGAACTAAATGTAGCAAATCTTTACTGATGGTCCAATAATAAAGCAACATAAATCCAGAGGCAGGAGTAACACACTGGGAGTAAAACAAAGCTTCTCTTTTTTTTCTTGTCCGTAGAACCACGAGGTTTTCACTTTTCCCAGTTATCGACATCTCTAACTTTAGCTAATTAGCTAGCTGGCAGTCACAGCTGTGTAAAACCC